CAGTGCAGAAGCTGTAAATCAAAATTCAACAAACATTACGAAATATTACAACTTCATTTCGCTTTGATCTATAGTGGCTCCATTGTGCGATGTCAAATGGGTCAAAGTGACAATGTAGGGGAATGTGTTACAACATTATTATGTCGAAGTTCTATGATTTTAGTTGTATATATGAGGCCGCTGGAGCCAGAGTAGCCTAAGTACAATTATATGACTTCACAAATATTTATAGTCTAGAAATGTTAGAAAGTGCATTTTTATTTTCCTCCTTATTGATAACCATGCTTTTTGTTATTAGGCCACTCTGCCTCTAGCAGCCTCATACGTATGTATAGGTAGTAGTCGAAATACTCGTGGTCGATAATTTCACCGCTCATAACATAAATCCCCTTTAGAAAAACGAGGAATTTAAAGTTCTAAGTAACTTTAAATTCCTCGTTCTTTCTATTCTAACCCAAAGAATATAGTACGAGAATTCTTAATTCCGAATTGTCTAATAGAACAAGCAATAAACTTCCAACATTAGCCCATTTCCCGAACTATTCTCGTAACCGATTTGGGTCAGCGTTCTGTCAATTGGGTTGCTTTGTGCAATCTGCGCTTATTACAAACGTATTGAACGTTTGAACCCAATTTTTATTTACGTTTGGCTTTCAAGACTAATTTCTGCCCAGTCATTTCAGAAGTACATGATCTATTAAGATTATTATATCAAGATCTAGTAGGATTAGGCCACAGAATGTGTGGACTCTCCTTTTTTCTATACTGTCTGTAGTTTACGCGAATTACACACTAGCTGCGTCAGCGACTTCGCGTGGAATAGTTATTTTGAATTTGTTCCTTGTTATTTGTAAAGCTATACTTCACCTTTATACTTTTAAGTTGTTACCTACGACATCGGTCGCGCGCCGTCGTTCTTGCAAGTTAATCTTTGAAGATAGACATATAGTGTCACGGACTTTTTTTAAGTAATTTAAAGAGGAATTATTCTTTTAAATAAAACACTTTAACGGTTTAAAACGCGATATATTAGTTAAACTTATTTGGAAATGATTTTTAACTTCGGCCCGACGTTTCGGATGCTTTGCAGCAGCCGTGGTCACGGGGAGACCCCCCTCTGTCTCCCCGTGACCACGGCTTTAAAATCATTTGCAAAATAAGTTTAACTGATATATCGCGTTTTAAACCGTTAAAGTGTTTTATTTAAGTGTGTACTACTCGCGTAAACTATAGACAGGAATTGTTCTTTCATACATATTTTTTGGGTGTCTTTAACCATTTTCGCAGCGCACCCATCAGAAACCCAGATAGGTGAATAATTTCCCCCATATTTTCACATTTCTCGCTGTTTAGTCGCTCCTATTAGTTACCACAGCGCGTTAGTTTAATTAGTCAGTACAATCGTCTGCTTAAACCATTTGCTTTACATTAATACGTGACTGAAAAAAAAATTGCACCCAATCTCTTATAAGATTCGTGTTGCCATGCCACAAAGAACTGATTACATTTTAAACGGTTCATCGCTCAAGAACGAATGACGAATTCTGAAGGTTAATAACCGAATGTGAGACGCGATATCGTTCGTGACTCAGGGTTTACGTGAATCAGTCTAACTTATATGTTAATTTAAGGAGATTGTCCTTTCGTCTGTTTATACTTACAGTGGCATGCAACGACGTTTGACATAACCGAGATGAACAAAAAATACTAAAATAGAATTTATTTAACTTGTTCCTCGATATTATTAGCTTTACTTGTCTTGATATTAATAATGGTCAGATATTTTCTGAGTTGTTTCTAATGAGACATAAACACGTCTAATGTTATTTTTTATAATTTAATTATTTTTTCTAATCAATAGGTACTTTTTGGGATAGTCAATAAGTTTTATTACTTGGTAATTTATAATATTATACGTAAAAGAAGTAAAATTTCGTCAAAATGACCATACAACGTTAAAAACTCTCTATAGTTCACAGCGTAGTATTTAAATAAAACACTTTACGGCTTAAAACACGAAATGTATTATTTAAACTTATCTCTAAGTTATTTTAATTACTGCCCGCTTAGAATACTTTGCAGCAGCCTTGCTCACAGTGTTTTAATCCGTTAAAAGTGTTTTAATTACATACAACGTTAGATCTTGTCTACTATGATATTTGTAGGTGTTTCCCATCCTTTTTGATCCCCTACTTACCCGATATTGATTTCTGTAGCTGTAGTGAAGTTTAGTGTTAAAAACTTAAAGTATAAACTCATGTTAATTTATATATTTATAAATTGAATTAAAATGAAAATTACTCAAAATAAAATTTTGTATCTGTTTTGATATTATAAGATAGTATGATGTAAGTAAATAGATACTATCAGTGTATGTGTTGAGATCCACTATCGTGGACCCCCATTTTCGTTTAATGGACTCCCACATTTCTTTTTTCGCTGACGTAGACCCCTTGCAGGTTGTCACAGGCACCTAGGGGCCGATATAGACCACTTTGAGAATCACTGGTTTACATTCTTCGTGTATTGATAATTAAGAACTAGCGCTAGCGCACTATAAGAAAAACTTTCGACTCCAAGTGATAAATTCTGACTCAACTCAAACAGAGCGAAAGAAAGTTAATCCCAGACCAATGTTTGAGTCATTTGGGTGAGTGTAGCGATCGCAATAATGGTCCATTGATGGTCGTCGTAAATTCGTTGTAAACAAACAGATGGATGATTTTATTGCTTCTATGTTGTAAGACCAAGCTTGATTCACAGCCTTTGATACGCGTACTTTATAAATATTGGTAACTGGTATCGATGTTGCTACAAATATCTATTTATAATCCCATGTGCTTCTCGATACCAAGTTGTATTCTACACGTACATAATGTATAGTTGTTTGTCCTTTTGATATACATACGATTAACAACACTTGTCAAAACTAGTCTTAATACTTTCTGTAGTTTACGCGTGGAGAACACATTTAAATAAAACACTTTTAACGGTTTAAGACGCGATATATATTAGTTGAGTTATTTCTTAAATATCGATTTGTAAAAATGTAAGACTCGGGAAGGACTTGAACCGGCATCATCAGCGTTCCGTCCTGTTGCTCTAACCAATTGAGCTACCGAGTCCTAATGAGTTATTTTTCATAATAAATCTTTTGTAATAATAGATGAGATGAGATTGTAATAATAGTCGTTCACAAAGGAATAAGATATTGTTAATGATTTGAAATCGAAATATGTAAATCCGAATTTAAGTGACTATTAATGATACTTTCCAATGTAGAAAAAAATTAAAAGCAAAAGGATATATCTAAATAAAACACTTTGACGGTTTAAAAACGCGATATATATTAGTTAAACTTATTTAAAGATTATTTTAACTACGGCCCAACGTTTCGGATGCTTTGCAGCAGCCGTGGTCACGAGGAGGCTAAACATGGAGGATGTCTCCGACGTCAAAGTAAAAATTGCTACGCTAGCGCCATCTGTTCCGTCGAAGTTGGAATTTGGCTAAACTAGCCAGGTCATCCCTGTTAAAATATTTTTCTAAAGTTTATCTAATATATTTCGCGTTTTAAACCGTTTAAGTGTTTTATTGAAATGTGTACTACTCGCGTAAACTATAAACAGTATTTAAAATGATATATACAATTACATATTTAGAACAAAAATATTTCTGCATAATTGTAAAGAATTTTGACCCTCTATCATACTAATTACATAATATCAGTGAATCGCGCGTCATCATAATAATTTTATTCATCCTGTGATTTTATCACAAACAGCTGGCGTTGTTATTTCTAACAGTTCGGTCGCACTGGATTGTTTTAATGTTTACTGCGCACGCGCGCACTCTATTTTAATTTCTTTCGGTTGCGTAGGGCTGGTACAAACAGATAAAATACGAGAACATTTTTTTATTGAAATACTTATTATTAAAAAAAATTAATGACTGTTGTTAAATGTCTGTGTAAACTTATATTACATTATATCCTTATTTAGCCATTGATAAAAATACATTAATTAAATACTACATGTAGTACACATTTAAATAAAACGTTTTAACTGTTTAAAACGCAATATATATTTGTTAAACTTATTTGAAAATTATTTTAGTCTACCCGTGACCACGGCTGCTGCAAAGCATTTGTACCGTAAGTTAAAATAATTTTAACTTATATATATCGCGATTTGAATCGTTAATGTGTTTATTTAAATATACATTAATTGTTTAAAATTCGAACAATTATAAATATTAAAATTATTTTAAATAAATATTTTATTAAAATAGTATGTTTCGGTGGTGACAACCCTAACATTATTTCACCCCATGTTATTCCAGGACAGATGAACTGCCGAATTTTTCAAGTTCATTAGTTACGGGCAGAGACGGCGATAAAATTAGACAAGTTAACAGGAATCGTGAACGTAATACTATGAAGGATGTTATTATCATTAATAAAAATGTAGCATATACAAATACAAGCGTTGTATGTCACATAAGACGTAATATGCACAAAGTTCGATTTTGGATAAACTTTTAGATTCGCGTTTTAAAATGTCACACGAGGAGAGAAGATTTTTTTCCATTAAAAAATATATTTACTAAAATTTCATATTTATTGATACAATTCTTATTGTTCAATTTAAAAGTACCTACAGAGGCCTAGCTCAGTAGTGCTTAATCGCTTTTCGTTACGCACGAGAGATCCTAGGTTCGTATGAAAACCTGGGAAAACACTAAATTCTTACGGTACAGCCGAGCACAGTTCTTGGATTATTACAAATATGTTTTGCTCCATGCGTCACCAACCTTACGAATACGGCATTTTATATCGTTGTAGTACTGCCATTTTTTTTCTTTTTGATGAAATGAAATGATTAGATGAAAATACTTAAATATTCTGGTAACGAACTGGCTAAAACCCTGATCGAACTGATCGAACGTGAATTGTACATACCTTCACGCGATATAAACTTATACCATTTTTTTTGTTACAGGCCTGTGCACCACGTTACGTATCCTTCGTGAACGCCAAACTGAACCAACGAGATCCCGTGGGTTCCTGCTTCGTTGCCAAAACACCGGATGCTATAGATGTCAACGAGTTCTCGCCCTGTCGAAACTGTGAGTTCAACATCAACTTTTAAAACTCACTTTAGTTCCTATAGTTGGTATTCAGTATGATCATTTTTTTGTTATTATATGTAAAATATGTAACTCTAGAAACTAAACTATTCGAATATAAGATTTGTATCTTGAATTGGAAAGAGTTTGGAAGAAATAATTAAAAATATTATTTTCAAAAGAATGTATCATCGTAACTTGTAATCCAAGCCTAAATCAATGTAACATATAAAATTCCATAACCAACTAATACAAAATGGCGGCGTACTAAAAGCGCGCGAAATTGCCGATCACTTCCGCCGGTAATGGCGAATTAGGAGTTGAAAATTAGCGTGACGCTCGCACAGGACGCCTGTGGATTTACGTACGCGCCAAATACGGTTATGGCAACACCGCGACTTTTATTATATTCTAATTTTACAGTTACAATAGACCTGTATGATTAAAAAGAATTTATAACAGTCAATATTTATTTATTCCTTTAAATTCTACATCATAGATAAGATTATATACATATATATTTTTACTCTGTTGTTTTTAAGTGATAATATACTCTGTTTAGGGTTCCGCACTCAGGATGATGGTAAGTATGATCAGTGGATGTAAAATGGATGTATTAGCACAGATCGTCAAATATACATTCAAAGTCTTTCATAAACCTGCTACAAAGAGCTATAAGTGTTTGAGATCATCTTAATTAAAATTATTGTTTCGTATTTACGTATTTTAATCATACTTTTAAATTAGTTTATATTTTCTGATTTTATTAGTAAGTAGTATTAATTGGTATTGAAGTAAATAAGTCTGTCTCTGTTTTTGTTTATTCAGATTTCAATTGTTACCACTAAATGGTAGCAATTGAAATTGTATGTAGAATATAAGTTTCAAATTATGTTGTTTCAAAAAGTATTATTCTATAGTTTAAAAACATTGTTCATTTTATTTATAAATTGTTAATTTTTTAAAGAGTTATTTATAATCTTGAGTCTAGGAATCGCTAGACTCAAGATTATAAATAGGATGATCTCAACACTTAGCCTAATGTTACGTCAAAAATAAATGTAACCGCACAACATTGTAAATAATAAACCATCGTCGTAGACTAGAAATGTTGAACTATAAATTGTAATTTTACATGAATTTTAAAATACCTACGAAATTCTATAAATACAATATTAAGTGTTCAGATAAAAAAACCAATGTTAAAACAAGTTTTATTTACAAATTCGTTAACACGAAATAAAAAATAATAAAAAATAATTGCATGTATGTATTTTATGTGTACCATTATATTATCGCCCAACTTAATACACGCTTTTATAAAATAATTATATATTTTTGTATTTTAAAAAAGGTTAAGTTATGATGTTCAATTATTTATATTTTTTCATCCTTCAAGGTCTTTAATCTATGGCCATGTATTGTATAGTGTTAAAAACAATAAAAAAAGTTATCTATTTGTTATATTACTTTTTAATTATTTAACAAATCTAGCCTCTTTTGTCCGAAAATAGTGTTCAGACTATAATATTGTTATAAAATATTTTTAATCTCCAGCAAGCCACGGCCAACGAAAGACGGGGGTGTGCCAAGCAGGTTTTTCAGCGGCAGTATCAAAGGTAAGTTAATGCAAAAATAATAACAGTAATTTCCTTAATACGGAGCAGCCGATTGGAATATAAATGTTGTGTTTTAATAAATTACTATTATCATCCCATCAGCGTCCGGTTAACTGTCTTTAGATTACTATAAAATTGATTCCATTTTAATTTTATGTTACAAAACAGTTCTTTAAAAAAAATCTAATTGATTAATTTGACATTTTATAGTTGGTGTTTGCAATTTACACGATAATTTCTTTCGTTAAGAAATTCTGTTGTAACTCTATGTGTCCGTGTTATTTACCAAGAAATGTAATTTGCTTTTAAATATTTAATTATTCTAAATGCCTGTAACGGCATTCAAGCGAAATCTTAAAATTTGTCCTGCAACTACTTAAAAAAAATTATAATGAACTTTTTTACTTTGATGTCAGAGACCATCCTCCATCATTAGTCACCCCGTGACCACGGCCGCTGCAAAGCATCCGAAACGTCGGGCCGTAGTTAAAATAATTTTCAAAAAAGTTTAATTAATATATATCGCGTTTTAAACTATTCATGTGCTTTATTTGAATGTGTACTACTCGAGTCAACTACAGACTTTATACAGTATTTTGTAATGAACTGTATAAATTATCTATTTTCAAATACTAATTCATACAATGAACGCATATAAACGTGTATTTCAAAATGGTGAAACAACATGTCATTTTAAGGAGACAAAAAGCTTATAATTTCCAACGATTCGCCCAACAATTCTTAAATACCACTCGGTTCAGCAATAAGGGTTAAAATTGGCTTAATGCATGTCCAAATTTCAGCGGAATCATAACATTAAATTACGATTAAGTACGATTTAAATCTCTCGAGTTTGACCGAAATCAATTTGAAGCACGCGGAAGGTATGTAAATGCACCTCGTACAAGACGGCCCCAATTATGCCCGACACGCTCATTAGTTAAACGTCGGCGAATTTGTTAAAAACTTTTCGAAATGCCGCAAAATGAATTGCAAGTAAATTGATAATTTATAATCTTTCGTGTACCGTTTGTCAACTCGTGCAGGCCTGATACAGGTGGATTAACGTAATAATTTTTGGTGGCATTTAATTTTTCACCAAGACTAGATTTTTGCTTTAGTTTACGCCTTAGAATTTATATAGTTTAGAATATATAATTTAATCATCGTATTTATTATCTACATAAATAAATACGATGATTAAATTATTATCTGTGCATTAATTTATAATTATAGATTATACATTATTCAGTCATGTAGTGTTGCCCAAATTCAGTCTTATTCTTGCCATCTTGGTCTTGTTCTTGCATTTTTGCAAGACCAAGCCAAGTTCAGGTTATTGTAATTAATTTGTTTTTTACATGTTTTAGCACATGTAAGCTTATAAAGCGTAAATGTTTATTAAGAAACAGTTACTCCCATAGAAAACGACATATGGCTCAGTTGATAACCATGTGGTAGTTGATTTTTCGACTTTCTTATCAAATCTTCACACATTTATTCATCTGATTGGTCTTTACTGTGGCTATGATATTTCAAGCTCACAATTCTAATACGTTTTTAAAGTAAACTTTAATAAATAACAATTGTCTAATATCCAATAAGTGTATTGGTGCAAGACCAAGACCAAGGCCGCCTAAGTCTCGTCTTGTTCTTGCATTTGTGAAATACTAGTCATGTACGTGACCAGATACCAGATTTCTGGTATTTTTTAAATATGTAGTTGCAAACGCGTTAGGTACTTAAGTTAACTTTACTTAAATCTTTCTGTGTGCAAATACATACTAATATCGATTTTTTAGACAACCATTGTCATGATATAGATATGTGTCCCGGTGGATCCGATTTCACGCCAAAAAACGACGGTCGACGTTATGCGCGTGATTTTACAATCGTGGGAAATAGCATTTCTGCGCATTATCATAGCTATCGCATCTGCGCGAGCACGTGACGAGCATGCGCTCTATACTTATGAATTATTTAACCTTTATTGTTGCCAGCAAAAAAAAGACATCTAGGAAATAGATGGAATGGAATCGCAGTGAAACCTTTTTGTTGATATTGTTTAGTTTTTTCATTCTTTTCACAGATAACATAATTTTAAGGGCTAGCTACGTATGGAGCTTTGTTATAATTGTAAATCTAATCTCTCTCTTTAAAAAAAATAAAAGAATATTAAGCTACAAAATAATTCTTTAAAATTATATGAAAGTTTACGTCTAAAAAATATTAAATGATTTGTTATTAAATTTCTATTCATATGACAACACTCTATTTCAAAATATTCTGTACGTCTATTAATTTTGCTTATTATACGCATTCCTGTCAAAAACGTGTTTCTTGTTCAGACGTGGTGAAAGATTAACAACATTACACCTTGAGGTTAAGAGATGTTATCTTTACACGGTGAATGTATTGCATAAATTTCGGCCTACCTGCCTAGCAGAACGTGCGTAGCATAAGTATTACCAAAAATTTTGCATTTTGGGTACAAATGTCTATTTAGGACTTTTATTGGGACATTAATTCTTTTTTGCTGCTATGTATACATAAAATTATAAGTCTGTATGGGGCGAACGTCTTTGCATAGATTTTAAGTTAACTCAGTAGACACACTGCGCACTGCTTGTCCAAACAATTTAAAACCAACATGAAATGATTTTATTTCTCCATGCCTTTTTCATATGCAAAACAAAATTCCCTGTCATTGCGACGTCTTAAACATTCTTTGTGGTTTTACAAACATGGTTTCGGAACGCAGCCGTAAACGGCGGCCATTTGCAGACAATGGCGTTGGCGGGAAAAGCGATACGCGCGCCATTTCGAAATCGATTCGACGACATTTAGGGATTTGTCGGAATAATTGTTGTGTTTATTTATCATCGACGATAAATATTTTAACATTGGCTTCGACGCAAAGCTGACATGCTTTTACATACAATAACGAAATTGGGTTGTGCCTGCCAAAAACAAAACAACTGCCATAGATTATATCTGAAGTTACTCATCTGTGCTCAACTGTTTATATTGTAAAGTTACATGTAAGTCTTAATATTCAATTGTGAATATTTCCTAGAGGAAATTAGCATGAGATGAATGGGTAAAGGTGCGTTATGGCGATTTAAACGGCTTCATTTTATCGCCGCTAATAGAATATTCAATTATTCAAGGCTCCGCGGAGTCCATACAGCATCGGTATTACATATTTTATTTGTGGGACGTGCTTAGGCATCTGACGTAAAGTTAATGTCTTTAATTACCTACTAACGCGGGAAACACACGTATTGATTTATTTACAAATAACTGGCGTTTTGCACATACACACATGTTAATAAATAGATTTTTAATTGCTTTAACTAATATAGAAGTGTAATTATTAAAAATAAAACAAAAAAATATACGTTATCTGCGATATATTCATGATATTATACTGGTCGTCTTTTTTTCATCCAATTGCCTTGCAACATTAAACAGGCAATCCTGCGCAGATAACAGTAACCACATGTGCATCAATTTGTCACACACCACTTGAAATACTATTTATTGACGTTGTTACGACTGCTGTACGTGAATCGAAAGCAGATACGATACCATTTTAAAATATAATACCAACATTTGAAAATTATAACGTATAAATTATTAAATCCTGTCTGTAGTTCACGCGAGTACCTAGTTAGTACACACTAAAATATTCTGTACATTTACATACAACATATTAAAACGCGAAAAATATTAGTTTAACTTCTTTGATTCCTTTTTTAAGAGGAATTAAAGTAGTTTTTACAAATTATTTTTAACTACAACCTGGCGTTTCTTTGTAAGCAAGTTTAGATAATATATTTCGCGTTTTAAACCGTTGAAGTGTTTTATTTAAAAATTATGAATTATTTTTAACCATTAATGGTTTAAATTTTTACGAAATATAGTAAAATTAGTATACATAATAACTTTTGTCATCGTGCGGGGGATCATATAAAATCGCATAGATAGACGTAGAGAGCCGGAGATCGGCGTGGGCGCCGTCGGATCGATAAATATGCGCGCGCGCTGTCAACTTCGCCATATAAAGACAAGCGACAACTCTACGCTGCCGGCAGCGCGGCTCCCGGGGCGGCGCCTGCGTTTGAGCATGTCAAAATGATCGCGACATAAGAATTATGTTTCTTAAGTTATACGTAAAGGGGGATACTCGGGACTTGGGAGAAAGTATTTTTTATGAGTTCTAAAGAAGTATTATTTGTCAAGGAGACTATTTCGATAATCTTTATTTTAAGACATCGATAAACTAGGCGTTATTTTAATTATATAATTCTTAACTAATGAAACATACTAAGAGAACATGGTGAGTAGGTGTCATGGCTGTATGGATGGCAGACATAAGAAACGTATAACATCTAAGCCAGATGGGCTGTTGCCCTATTTTGGTTTTATGTATTCAGCTTCGGTATTTAGGCTATTTTCTCTGTGGACGATGGTTTGTTACCCGGGCGTAATTTCGATATTATTATTATTATTAATATGAAGATTTCAAGACAAAGTTCAAAATGCTTAGATTATTAGCAACACATATCACCTACCATTACGCTAAAATTACCGAACCTAAATAATCATTTAACTATAAAGTTCGAACTAAATGCTAGCTTTGAAATTTTTAAAGTTTAAGTAGGCACTTAGCTACAGATGCAAATACATTACTTTAAATGGAGTAAAATATTAGTCGGAAGTCGAACTCAAAACAAACCATTATTGTAGATCAATAATACGACGTAAATAATGAGCAGATCCCGGTCCATTTCGTGTATAAGTGCTTCGATGCATCTTCACACATAAACCAGTACTTATCGCGCTCCGCTCTGCTTTGTATGTTAACGCGAGATAGCGTAAGTGCTACTATAAAATCATATCGACTGAACAATTCACACGGAAACCATGTTCTTTAATATAGTAAAACACAACGTGTAGCTATACATTTTTTAATAAAATAATTTAACGGTTTAAAAGGCGACATATTATATTAGTTAAACTTATTTGAAAATTATTTTAACTACGGCTCGACGTTTCGCTTTGCACGAAAATAAGAGCATATAGATTAACTAATATAATATATCGCGTTTAAAACCGTTAAAGTGTTTTATTTAAATCTGTACTACACGGGTAAACTACAGACAGTATTTAACTATAAACTTTTATTTTTCATGACATAAAATCCTTAGAATAATTCTACCTATCACATTTAAACAAGGAAAATATTTGGAATTGAATAAAATACAACCTTTGTATATTTTCAGTTGATGTAAGCTTAAGTTTTGTTTATAATATTTAAGTTTTCTAGTAAGTTGCATAATTGAAATTTATAGAACTGAATTTTAATAACTTATTCAATAATTGTGCCCTACCTGTGCCCGCGACTTCGTCCGCGTGGAATATTTCTCTCTATTTCGCTCCTCTTGGACGCTGCGTCATATAGCCTTCGTTGATAAACACTCTATGCAATTTTTCAATTCAAACCTGTAGTTCCTGAGATAAGTGCGTTCAAATAAACAAACACTTTTCAAAGCTTTACAATATAATTTGAACTTTTTACGCCTTCTCTTGATCTCACAGCAAATGCATTTTAGCTGGTTTAAAAATTAAACTAAGTTACAAGAACCAACAATCACATTTTTAATATTATGTAAAGACAAAAAAATGTGTTGTAATTTTTCTCTTATAATAATTTCACCTTTCAGGATGGACAACGCCTGTTTATGGGTGCTCCAGGCAGCTTCTATTGGCAAGGTGAGATCTCAACTTAACAGCTAAATCTCTATATACTTTTTAAAAGCTAGTAGAACAATTAGATTTTTCTGTTTTATTGGCTTTGCAAGATTGCAGTTGTATTATGATTCTGAACGTTAATGAAAATCCACAGGACGAACAATATCAATAGATCCTAGCGCAAGATTCAACTACTATATGCCGAAGGAAGGTAAAACTAGCGAAAAATGACCTCGTAACATTTTAACCGAATAACATAGCGACGGCTTAAGAACGCATAATCCAAAAATAATCGCCCAAATCATACAAAACATGTATCAATTTCGATGAAATTTTGAGCATTTTCATTTAATTATTTGAAAAAAAAAATGGTTTAAATATCAATTTTTGAATTTGAATGAGCACACGTTAATTCATGCAAAAAAAAACAGATATACGCACGGATACCTGATTTTATTATAATTTGGATTAAATTGTCCTGCAAGTACTGTTCAAATGTCTATATATTTATTTATTTCACACTGGTACACATAACATTCAAATACACAATGAAAATTTTGCACCGGGCGGCCTTATCGCTTTAAGCGATCTCTTCCAGGCAACCCGAGTAGAAAGAAACTTAATAATTAAACTGGACAATGTGTAAGAAGTTGAACAGTACATACAAATTTCAAGTCCTTAAAGCGTACATACACTCAGTTTCATCGCCTATAAATGGTATTTAGGATACGTGAAATGCTCAAAATTTCAAACAATCCGAAGGAATATCTTCATGCTATACCATGCAATGCAATGGTGCAGGTCTTGAATAGAATCATTGCATTTGTCTCGTCGATTCGAAACCTTACTCAATATTATGACTCACAGAAAGCGTTGTTGCATTTGTCTTAGTGACGTGCTAACTATTTCCCAACTTGAAACAGATAGACCAGAAGACTCTGATTACTATTTAAGCATTCATCTCTGTTAAAAGAGTTGAATTTAAACAATAGACAGACAGACGAATAGTGCCCCCGTAGATCCCATTTAATCAAACTTAACAGACCTCATAAATTTGAGAGGGAATAGAGGGGATCCAGTAGAAGCCGTATTACCTTTAGAATGGGATAAAGAGGTTGTAATTAACGCTTAAACCATACGCCCATCGCTTCGGAACTAATTTATAATGAAAATGATTTAGAGCTCTTCTCCCGTTCGCTTTCAAATTAATCGGTACGATTTGGTGGTCTTAACAACATTAAAATTATGGTGATTAAATTTTTGAAGTGTGAATCCTAATTGATTTTAAACGATGTTCTGACGATAGGATTGTTCAGTAAATTGTTATTTGGAGTCAAAAACTAGGTCGCATTCAAAAACTATTTTGAACGAGTCATACAAGTTACAGCCTTGGTCACAATTTCACTAATACTGCTCGTTCTAACTGCAACTCGTTCAAATTTGTTTATAAGGATCATTAAGTAAGAAGATAATTGGTTCTTTACGAGCTTAGCCGCTGAAACTGCGTCGTCTCATTCTGTTCCATTATTCTCTTGATTCGTTGAGCTTGTCTAATTCTGCTTTGTAATATCATGTCGAATACTGTACATGAAGTGTCCATTACTGCTGTGAATATGGTGTCTACTAACAGAAACATCGCGAACATTGAAGCTTGTACCTGGATCATTACTACCCATTTCGTTAATTGAGATTAGTTCCCATTTTGACCCATATTCTCTGTTCTAGGTCAACTTAAAGTACAGACTCTGAATCAGAGACCAGTTTTGATCTCAACGCCTGAAGCTAGTCCTAAATATGACGACTCGTATATGGGCTATTCTGTTACTGTTGGTGATTTTGCTGGGCAGGGAATCCAGGGTGTAGCTGTTGGAGTACCTAGAGGATCAGAGTTGAGAGGCTTGGTAAGATATAAGATATTTCAAGTTGATTTAAACATTCATATACTTATTAAATGAATAGAAGTACTTGGTCTTTTTTTGGGTAATATTGAGTAAAGGTGTTAAAGGATCAATAATTACTTTCATTTATAATATAAAAGTAGTTTTATTTACTAAGAAATATCTACCTACAAAACGTTTGCTTTCGTCTTCAATTCTTCTGACATTAGCAAGGTAAAGATAAAATATATACTTATGCAATTAATGTTTCTAGTTAACAAAAATATTACGATTTTTAATAAAACATTTCTAACTTATTTTTCACTTCGACTCGATAACGTTTCAAGTCCCTTGCTGAGATCGTGGTAATAGATAATTTCTGCAGAAACTACCTGAGTCCTTACAGAACTGGCTAACAATCCGTTTTTTTATCTCTATGCCGTTATTGATAGTATTAAAAAAATACCTTCTTTTTCAGGTGGTTCTATATACCTGGGAACTTCAAAACATCAAGAACATAAGTGGCTCTCAGATTGGAGCTTACTTCGGGTACAGTCTTGCAAGTGGCGATATAGATGGGGACGGTGCTGATGATGTCATTGTTGGTGCTCCCATGTTCACTAAGCCGAGGAGTGATGGATACGAGCATGGAAGGATATACGTCATCTACCAAGGAAAGAATAGAGTAAGTTAAAACGACGCGGATGAATGCTCGATTGATATTTTCGATATTCACAGAGCGAAAGGGGAAACCAGACGCTGCAATGATTACTTAAAAAAAATACAAAATTACATTTTAAAGTAAGCACAGACAATAAAGAATGATAAAAAATTTTGTAGGTGCTAATGATTACGAGACACAATTAACTTAATAGCGCAATCGTAATTTATCAACATCCTTCATCAATTATTTTAACAGAGATTCACATTACTAATCGGTGACTTTCTTTACAGTCCTTCTCCAAGAACCATGCTAGGACTGGTGAGGTTTCCCGAGGCAGATTTGGCCTGGCAGTAACTTCACTTGGTGATATTAACTATGATGGTTTTGGAGGTGAGAATATAATTGATCATATAAAAAATATAAATGTTCAGAAGAACTACAAATCTCCTTTGTAACTATAGCTGTAGATGACCCATAAATAACTTAAAAAACATCATCTAAATGAAAGGCTTAAGGCTCCTAATGGAAAAAAATGAAATCTTTTCAGAAGTTATGCAATAAAACACAGCCATTTAAATATACGTATGTGTTATTATTAATATTTTGGCGTCGCACTAAGCAATAATGAATAAGAATGAACACTTTCTTTGCAACCGATAGAAATTAGTTAAGTATTAGTTGAAAAGTTTTGTTTCCTTTATCAGACATAGCCGTAGGAGCTCCGTATGGTGGTGAGAACGGCCGCGGTGTGGTATACATTTACCACGGAAGTGAACTGGGTATCGGCGAGAAGTATTCACAAGCCATTACCGCTGAACAGATCAGTCCAGCCCTTTCAACCTTCGGATTTTCCCTATCTGGAGGGGTGGATCTTGATAACAACAACTATACGGATTTGGCTGTGGGCGCTTACAAGTCCGATAGCGTCGTGTTCTTGAAGTAAGGAAAACATAAACATACAATCATTTTCAAGTCCTATCTTGTCTTTCTATTGCAAAATTGCAATAGAAAATCTAAAATTAGATTAAATTCTATTCAACTTTTAGGTGACATATCTGACGTTTGTAGGTCTTTATATCTTCTTATTAAGTTGGGGTCTCATAATTTTCAATATTTTCCAGGTCTCGGCCCGTAGTCAAAGTAATGGCGGATGTGAAATTCATGGGTGAAAGCAAGTTAATATCTCTCACTGACAAGAGATGTCGTCTCTCCAATGGAACGCAAGTCGCCTGCGCACAGTTGATGTTCTGCCTTACCTATGATGGAGTCAATGTTGACCAGCAAATAAGTAAGTACATACATATTGTCAATCTATTAATTTAATAAAAATATGCCTTCGATTTCACTAAAAATATATTTCATATAAAAATGAAATAACAACTAACTTAGTATTGAAAAAAGAAATATTTTTCTAGAAGGATTTTAATTCCAGACACACAAGTGAAATCATTACTACTACTACTTACTACTAATATAATATAGTTTTTATTTAACATATAAGTGGTATCTGGTATAAAATTAAAACCTTAATGATTAGCACATATGCTAAAAAATATATTCTTTATTCCAAGCGGAAGGATATATTTGCTACTTCGGTGAGTCGTAGAGGCAACGTGCTTTGTTCAAATAGGAACGATACTGCGCTTTAGTTGTTTAGATAATTATCATATAAAAATCTATTAGAGATTAATTAGGATTTAAAAATGTAAATATACACGTTGTTGTTAATCTGTGTAAAATTTAATCTATACTAATATTATAAAGAGGAAAGGTTTGTATGTAATGGATAAACTAAAAAAGTACTGGACCGATTTGAATAATTCTTTTTTCATTAGAAAGCTACATTATCACTGAGTAACATACGTCGTTAACTACTTTCTAGCCTATATCTACTTTTTTACATTTAACAAATTAATAATCAAATCAAAATCACACCGTGTTATCCATACTATTTATACATTTTTATCCAAATAAATAATTTAATATTCAAGACTGTCTCAATACCTGATGATTACTTTTTTAATTATTGAAATCGGAAATTCCATTCAAAAGATATCATGAAGTTAAAATTTGTGTTAAGGTAAGTTAGCGTTAAAGTTAATTAGGGCCGCTAGTGTTTTATAAATGGCAACACTGAGATAAGAGGTTAATAGTTACGTCTCTTGAAGAGCTTGTAAAATTGAACTAGGTAATATCGCAGCCTATCTAAACAAGATGCGCGGTCGACCTATTATGGATATTTGAAAATCCACAAATTGTAACCGAAACGTGATTAAAATTCACGGCTTTTTTTATCTGTGGACGGTGGTTAGTGATCCAGACATAATTTCGAAATTCCTATCACCCATTTAATAAAAATCCCTCCTTTCTTTTAGGTTTCCACCCAAGTCCTCTAGTTCATTATCATCAAAATATTTTCCTACCCTATTTATATCATTGTTCATTATTAAAATTTTCAGATTTCGAAGTGACGTTAGACCTAGATTCACGTCAGAAGACCAGTAAGCGCCTGTTCTTGATGGAGAGTAGACAGACCATATACAAAACTCATATTTTGCTAACACAAGGACTACAAGAGTGTAAAGAAGTTATGGTGTACCTTGATGTAAGTACTACTTAGTACACAAGTTAAAATAAAATTTTCATAGTTCTGTATACTCAATTTTTAGTCTAACTGAACTGGATACATAACAACATAAGATTGAATGATTCAACTAAACTTAGACAAAAAACTCAGCTGAAAAAATGTAATATACTATTATGTGTACCAAAAATAAATAAAATAATTTTTTTACATACATGTATGTAAAAAACATATTTTTATGGGTTAATATCGAAACTTAGTTAAATCTAGATAGGTACATTAATATAAAATAATTTGTCAACACATACAACACCTATTTTCAGGAGGAAATCAGAGACAAGCTGACCCCGATCGAAGTAAAACTGAGTTACGATCTGGTGAACCAGCCATCTGGTAATGTGGTCCCTCCAGTACTAGACCACACCAAGAGCATAGAACACACGGACTCGCTCAACATACAGAAGAATTGTGGACCTGATAATGTGTGTATACCCGACTTAAGGATGTACGTTACAACGTAAGTACTACATTGCATTGCTTTTACTCGCGATCGCGATGCATTTTGGTACGAGTCATCTAGGAGCACTGTCTCTAGTGACACGTCACCAAGCCTATTAAAGTGATTTATTACTTTGTCATAAAATGATGTTATATAATATAGGGCTAAACTTATAAATGGTTCTACCTGAATCTTACAAATACATATATTTTCCAGGCCCATAGTAAACTACGTACTGGGTTCAGGCGAGGATGTGCACATTGATGTCAAAGTGGAAAATGCTGCTGAAGACGCATTCGAGGCGGCCTACTACTTACAAGTTCCTGCTGGGGTTACATATTCTAGAATGGAAAGGCTTGATAAAGACACGTAAGATACAATAATATGATATATTATGAGATCCTAGCGACATAAATATTTTGTACAACATCCTCAAATATTTAGTAATCTGCCAGGTAGTGCCACGTTTGCGCAGAAGAATATCTAAGGTCAAGAAAAGGTCAACAGCGCAGCTGAATATGATATATAAGCGAACTTCGACTATCGGTCCTTCAAAAAAATGCGTGAAAAAGGAATTAATTCAAATCTATTTTTTTATTTACAGTGCAGATGCACCACCTATCTACTGCTCTATGAAGAAGAAGGGTAATGACGGAAACAGCACGCTCAAATGTGACCTGGGCAATCCTATGGCTACAGGGCAAAGTGTAAGTGCAAGCGTATTAACTATGTCTTACTGTAAGGTCTGCTACCTACACTTATATCATAGATTTTACATTAAACACACAATCTTAGCATTTTTTGTTATTTGTGAGTATTATATATGAAGGAACCACTCGAAAGTAATATCCGGCTCGAAGGACCAAAAAATAATCTACTATATCTATTCCAGGTGAATTTCCGTGTGATTCTCGAAGTTGACGCCCGCGTGACGACATTAAACTTTGACATGGAGGCAAACTCAACCAATCCAGAGCAGGGCACTCAATATGACAACATACGACATTTGCCAATCGGGGTCGTTATTAAAGCTGTTCTATCTATTATTGGGTATGTCATCTTATTATCTTCATGAATCATTGGTATTGTTAATATAAGGTTTTTAATCTTAATTATGTTTTATACCTTATTACCATTTTAATTTTTCTCGGGCGTACAAACATTTTGAAACCTAAATCAGCCTAGTCGCTTTTGACTTCACGAGATAAAAGAACAGCGATTGATTTGTATATATCGATAAATGTGTCTCGTCGTTTGGTTGTATAAATATACCTTAACGTAACCAATCCTTTACAGTACATCAGACCCACCAGAGTTACACTACAATGCTTCTCTATACGAATCGCAAAACCTTAAAGATGACACAAAGCTGGGCCCACAAGTGATCCACAAGTACAACATCAAGAACGAGGGACCTTTCACGGTTGACGAAGCCGAGTTATACATCATGTGGCCTTATCAGACACTCACGGGTAAATACTTGAAACGATGATTACAATACACATCCTAGTTGTATTCTTTTATTTACAAGGTAAACAAAAAAAGCAACAGCACGGAATGCTGACGATGCCGGTTCAAGTCCTGCCCGAGTCGAAAATTTTTTCAATTTATTTTCGATTTTTAAGTTATAACGTAAACAAACATAAACATTTACTTAACATATAAAGCCTATAAAGCGACAGGCCGTAGTTACAATCAATTTTAAATAAGTTAGTACATTTCGCTTTTTAAACTGTTAAAAATGTTTTGATGATACTCACATAAACCGTATAAAAGTGAATAATGTAACATATAATTATTCTTTTGATGATCTCCTCATCAGTTTAATTAAATAAACGTGCTTTAAGATGTTCTTACAAAAAATATAACTTAGTCTTTAAATATACACTTACGATCTATACTAATAAGCCTTGTGCCAAGCACACATAAGATTTATCACTTAATACAATTTTTTTTCCAGGCGAGAACCTGCTATATATGCTCGTCCAGCCACAGTGGGTCGGAGACATGGTGTGTGACGTAGCCCGACACGTCAACCCCGAGAACCTCTTCGTGCAGAATCCTTACTCCTTCCTTCTCACTAAGGAAAAAGAAGGTAATATGGAGGAGAATTACCCAAAGTTCGACTTTTATATATTATTTTCGAATAGTTATTTTGGACATCCAAATTCGTTTTTGCAAACTCCGTTGCGAAACCCGATCTTTAGTAACTTAAACTGTTACCCTCGACGTCGGTTGCGTCCCGACGTTCTTACGAGTAAACTTTTTAGAATTTTTTTATATCGTTTAAAAGGAATCATTCTTTTAAACATATTTTTTGGATATCTTGAACCGTACGTACGCATCGGAAACTTACAAAGATGAACAATTATGTTAGTCACCGCACGATGTTTTATAGCCTACCTCGATAAATGCTCTAACCAAAAAAGTATTCAAATCTAATTTCAATTCGAACCAGTAGGTCCCGAGATTAGACGTTCAGCTTTTAACCCGAATTAAGCTCGTTCATACAAACAAACAAACTCTTTTAATAGTGTTCTTTATTTACAGCTATGATGAGCAGTGAACTTTACACAGCTTCTCAACTCGGCGGCGGAGGTACTTATTACGGACAAAGTAAGTATTTACTAAGTATCAGATGGCACTAGTGTAGCAGATTTGACTTTGACATTAGGCACACCCTCCATCTTCAGTCCCCCTGTGGCAACGGCAGCTGAAAAGCATTTGAAACATTAGGCCGTAGTTAAAACAAATTCTAAATTAAGCAATATATCTCGCGTCCCGGTAAAAAACTTTTTTTCTAAAAATACTATCTACTATACGTGCACATATTAATTTCTAAGATCTTACTGAGACAATAACATCGGCAAGTACATTTATTTGTTTCATTATCCTTTTCAGAATACTGGGAACAATCCTCGAGTAATCAAGCTGGTAGCCAAGCTGGACAGGCCGGTCAAGCTGGACAGTTTAATCAAGGAGGAAACCAATTTGGTCAAAGCGGAGGGCACTTCAGTCAAAGTGGCCACACCACCCAAACAGGCACCCAATACAATAGTCAAAGTGGTAGTCACTTCCAATCAGGTGGTCAAAGCGGTGGACAATTTAGCACGAACTATGCTTCAGGTGGCCAAGTATCTACCGGACAAAGCCAAGGCTCAGGAGGTCAAGTTTCTGGAGGCCAACATAGTAACCATGCTGCAGGTGGCCAAAGCGGTAGTCAATATGGCCAAGGTGGCACCTACACTTACAACCGTACTTGGGGCGAGGAGAATCTAACTGCTGAAGAAAGGGAAGCGATAAGAAAGAACCTGGAAGCCATATCCAGAACTCCAAGTCAAAGCGGCCGTGGTTACAGCGGAGGGTCTTATGAAGGTCGTGTTTATGGCCAAGGTCAAGGACAGGCAAGCCAAGGGCAAGGATATGGTCAGAGGGTGTACATCACAGGAGGGCAGCCGTTTGAAGCGGGTTATGATAATGACGGACGCATAGTACGAGTGAAGAACCGAACGATAATTTACGACTCGAATCACAATATCGTCTCGCAGACAGAGACGAGCACAGAATACGGTTCTCTGGGGCACGAGGGCGAAGCTGGTAGCTCATTTAATGCGTAAGTATTTTGATAACTGTGAAATTTAAATAAAGCACTTTTAACGGTTTAATACGCGAAATATATAAGGGAAACTGATTTAGAAATTATGTTTATTAGGGCTCGACGTTTTGGATGCTTTGCGGCACACGTGGTCTCCCCATGACGGCTAAAATCTATGGATCTAATGCTAAAATAAAATTTTCAGTTACCTGAATAAGAACCGCGGTGAGAGTGGATCGCAGGGTTTCGTGCACGGGGCGTGGTCCACAACTGAAACCATCAATCCTGAAATAATGAATGCTGGGTCCACCACCTTCCAACGAGGCTCAGACGTCACTGTGGTCGGTGATGAAGATGAGGACCGACTTGAAGGTGAATATAAAATGAAACTTGTGTCTTTTATAACACACTATATGCGCTTTTGCACGCGTAGAATATTTATTTTGGGCATCATATTATCTTAATAAAAAATCCATTGTAGATTGAAAAATTTTCATAAAGTCCGCGTTCGTTTTTGCGATTAAATCTTAAGAGATAGACATACAATATCACTGACTGTTGTTTTAGATCATTTAAAGAGACATTCTTTCATACATATTTTTTTGGTATCTTAAACCGAATTTGGAGCTCACGCTACGGAAGCCTTCAAATAATTTGTCCTAAAATTGTTCATCATTTCAAGGTTTTGGAGTATACGCAGCACAGAACAGTAATAACGAGTTCAAAGTTGGCATGGCTGACGTCACGGGAGCTGTTAACTCAAGACAAAGTGAAAACTACCGAGGTCAAGGGTTCCAATCGAGACAGGGACAAAGTGGCCAAGGATACCAAGGGAGTTACCAAAGTGGCGGATACCAAGGTGGTAGCTACCAGGGAAGCATGGCTGGAGGAGGGTACAGCTCTGGTGGAGGATACTCTTACTCTTCACGATCAGGTAAGACTGCTTGAAAACAGTTAGAGAACATTTTGAATATAAGATCCATTTGGTATCGAATGAAGTTGCGTTCAAGGTATTGGCGAAAAAGTGGATCGAGAAATCCGAAAAATAAATTTAACAGGCCTAGATGGCGACACTGTAGCTCATTTTCCATAACTACCTTTAAATAGTTTTTAAATATCGAACTCTAATTGAATTTAAGAATTTTAATATATTTGTACAGGTATATAATGTTTTTTATATTTGATATTATATTAAAACATTAATTTTGTTTCTAGGCGGCCACTCTTATTCCTCATCTGGCGGTAGTTTTAGTTCATCATCAGAACAACGACACGAGAGTACACGACGCCGAAGACAAGATGAGGTAAATTCATATTATTTCATATATAAGTCTGTACATGTAGGACGAAATAAGTTGAAATGGATGTTGATAACGATTTCTTATTATTATATATAAATAAAAGCACAAATAATACACAAACATCGTACCGTATTCTGTTGTTTGTTGCCCCGTGGGGCAAGGGGCAAACATATTTCTGTGTCCTTTTCACTGAACGGTTCTTTTACAGGCAAATTTTAGATCGGACTTTTGTACCCTGCCCGGCCGAAACATTGTATGGTTTCCCTAGGATTTTAACCCAGGTCCTCTCGCGATTACCGTAATACTAGGCAGCACATTTGGCTACAGAGGCGGACATGTTTCAATACAGCCAGTAGTCAAATAAAACACTGTAACGGCTTAAAACGCGATAAATATTAATTAACGCGATATATTAGTTAAACTTGTTTAAAATTATTTTAACTACGATTTATCCGTGACCACGGATGCTGCAAAGCTTCGGAATCGTCGGGCCGCAGTTAAAATAATTTCAAACATTAACTAAAATATATCGCGTTTTAAACCGTTAAAGTGTTTTATTTAAACTACAGACAGTACAGCCAGTATATTAAAATATGTTTAACTTATAATTGTGTAATTAAATAATAATGCGCATATTTCTTTTTCCAGGTGGACCCTCAACTCATGGAGATGCTGAAACGCTGCGAAGAGAAATACAAGTGCGAGGTGGTGAGGTGCAGAACTGGTCGTTTGCTTAAGGGACAGGAGGTGTGGCTTGCTTTGCGTGCCAGAATCAACGCGACTGTGCTTAACGAGGTAAGATTTTTATAATGTTTTTAATTCTTATAATGTTTCTAATAATCTTAGTGTTTTACTATTTCGACCTTCGGATGGGTTTATGGTCCATCTTATTCTAAGTATAGATTACAGTAGATTACTCGAGTAGTACAAATTAAATAAATTACTCTTAATGGTTTGAAACGAGAAATATATCAACTTATTTACAAATTTATTTTAACTATAGCCCGACGTTTCGGACGCTTGACCTACGTGGTTTAATTTTCTGTTTTTTTTTGTAATTAATCGATTAAATAAATTATTAACAAGTTTTTCTGGAGTTGAATCAAAAAAATAAAACTATCTTATTTTGTATTCTGTAAAGTACTGTCGTTCGTTCGTATATGCATTGGCCCCACATGGGCAACAATCATTTTAAAACTTACTAATTTAATTTCTTCTATCATTTTTTAGATCTCAAAAGAACAGCCAGTCAAACTATCAACATTGACAGCGACCCGTGTCTCAAGATTGCCCATGGTCGGTCGCCCACAAGACCAGGGTTGGCAGACTGGCGAAGCGCATACTGTGGTCACGCCACAGTTGGAAGCACTTTCCAGTGGTTCAATACCGTTGTGGGTCATCATATTGGCTGCTGTTGTTGGTGCTTTGTTACTACTCTTACTCATCTTCGCTCTTTATAAGGTAAATATAAAATAAAAGTATACGTAGATCTCACACACGCAAAATCTATCTGGCCAATTGAGATGAGATTCGAATTTTATCTATATGTATGTGTCTACTACAACTTCCTTTGCAAACTTAAACCCTTTAAGAATATTAGGCATATAGCTATTTTAAACATCTTTTCTTTATAATAGTATGTCTTCACACTGTATCCTATTCAACAGTGCGGCTTCTTCAAACGCAACCGCCCTTCCGACCACGCTGAGCGACAGCCCCTGAACGGGCGCGACGAACACCTTTGATATCCGACCACAGACCTCGGCGTAACCAGCGACACCGCGGACACCCGCGACACCGCTGACACTGCCGACACTCGCGACACTAGCGACACCGACACCAGACACTACAGCTCGTCTACGGACGCGGCTAGTGACGTCACGAGCAACGATTCAACTAGCATGGACAGATATTGACAACGAGTAGTTGTGTATGAGTTGTAAGTGGTGCTAAAGAAGTGTATTCAAGTGCAAGTTACACCTTGTACGTAGTGCCTACGCAAAATTGTATATTATCTGCAAAAACAGATTACGTTTTGAGGATTAAAATGTAATGTCTAGTATCTAAAGCGAAACATATCTTTACAAAAAAGTATTTTGACAGTAGAAAAGTAGTGTCGTTAGTAGATTGTCTAGCAATGTCGGTAGTTGTCAGTAGAAAGGTGCTTTGTAGTGCTTTAAGCATATTTTTTGATTAAGGCTTTAAAATATCCTTAAAGTAATTACAAACTTGTTTGCGCGTACGCACAAAATTGTTTGCGACTCGTGCCCATATTGTTAACTCGATTATTCGATAATGTATATAGATTGAGGGCCTTTGAAACTTTTGTGTTAAAAGTATCTCAAAGGAATCATAATTTATGCTAACATAACTAGTCAAGAATAGATGATCACTTAATTTTAGGTGCAAAGTACCCTAAAATCTAGACACGGACGCCAAAAAAACCCTAGCAAACGAAATTCGATTTTCCTATAAAGATCCTTACAACCGTTTCGCTGTCTAGATTTTACTTGTAGACGTGTGAAAATGTGATCTATGGTGTAATAATTAAGATGTATTATTGCTTGACCGTGCTTCGACTTCGATCCAAGAAATAAAGGAGTAGTTTGATGTGTTCCTGCTGATAAAATAATTAACAATTTTTGTGCCTTTTAGTAAAACAATAATACACTCATATTGATTTTATTTTATCAGTAGGGATAGGAGGTAGTCTAATAAATATGTATATTTAATATTTTTAATGTACTAATAGGATCTTCATTCGTTAGAGAATTAACATTTCCTTTTAGGAGGCGTGACGTAGGCTTGCAATAATTAGCGAATAAATATTCAGTGTTAGTGAATTTTACGAGATATATCAGCGTGACGTAGACAGAATTGTATATAGTAGCTGTTTTTAAAAGTGCTATATAGCCTTTGCTGGTGCCTTAAAACTGTCAATTTCGAGCAGAACTTTTGTAAATATTATAGCCGTGTGTTATTTTATTAATAGGCAATAATTTTTGAGATTCAAATACTTTTTAATTAATGAAGTAAAAATGAAATAGTTAAACCTTTCAAAAAAGCAAAAACACCTACATAGTCCGGCTCGAAGGACCATTGTTCGTCGTGTTGATGTATTTATTAGTAGTTGCATAAACAGAAAATGCGTGTGTAGTTTGAAAGAGACAGACATTGTACTGTGTGTCTTACGATTGTGCCTTCTGAAACTGCCAGTTACTAAATAATCTTAATACTTTTAATGAATTTTAATACATTTTCACGGACGTTTGTAAAATTTTATTTAAAGTATTATAGTACTTAATTAATTTAAGACAAAAAAATTATCGTCGTTTAGGCCATAGAACGAAAAACCAAATTTATTTTTCTTGTTTTGAAAACAAAAATAAAAAAAAACGATTCTGTGAAAATTATTTATTTAGTTTAAGGCGCGTCATTGTTATTTTATTTTACTGTAATTATTAATATTTATTGTATAAATTAACTGTATTATTACCTAATTCTGCTTCTACTTATAAGCGAATAATACGATGAGGAATATGGATGCCATAATTTTAAAGAAACATTTTGGGTTGTCTGGGTAACTTGCATTTACCAAAAAGAACTGTAATTACATTTTTTTGTTTTTTTAATCAATTACTGTCTTTCATTTTACACTCCTATTGTGTTTAGTGATGTATTTTTGATCATGTTTCTTTGCATGACCATTTTTGTTTCAGGGTACACAAATTAATTTAACAATATTATTTAAATAATATAAGTATTGTCTTCTTTCTGTCACCGAAACGGTGAACCAAAATGTAAATTAAACTGTTGTGTATCTAAACTTTGTGACCACCTCCATATTACAGTGGTTGATGGTGGTATTAGTGGTGGCATAGCACCTAAAATGATTACCTAATAGCGGGTGTAAATCCCTGAGAATCAATTAAAATGTCTGTCGAAGAAGGTCTTAACAACTAATCAGGCACAAAAAATGCCAGCCTCATGTTCTACTTAAGATAAATGAGGTTTCGCACACATAATGTTAGGTTTGTGAATAGTCTGTCTTCAACTCACCCTACTATAAAATATTGTCTGTTTTTTACCCGAGTAGAAGGAAATCCCTATTAACGATTCAAAATGCGATTGAAACATGTTTTATTTAAATAAGCTAGCATTTATAATTACCACAAGAAATCACTGTAAACGGTTTAAAACGCGATTTAAACATGTTTTATTTACATAAGCTAGTGTTTATTCCTACATTAATATACATCTGAGCTTCAATAAGCAAGCTTCTTAAATTACCGAAGAAGATAGATGATCATTGAAATGCCGAAGTTCGTTCAGATTAAAGTACGGTTCGCAAAACCATTTTTAATATGGACTTATAGGATAAGAATCAGCTAGATCTACCTAGCTATTTACCACGATAGCCAGTGTTTGAAAATGACATACCATCGAAGTGTTTTTAGAAGGGCTTTGTTCGACAACGTTTATCTTCACCAAGATACATTTTTCTATGCACTACCAGAGTACAAACTACGGACCTCACAAACGTAAGGCTGCTCAAACAACTAGATCGACACCACTCATAAAATTGCTAAAAGCCTAATAAAAGTTTTATATATTATGAAAATAGGTCAGTAAAGAATTTAGCCTTTCCATGCTGTCTGTACACAACTCCGAACCGTAAATCGTTCACGACCGCCTTTATCTAGTGTCTGTTGGACCTCAACTAAAATTAATGTCTCAAAAACAATAGATTAGCACTGACCGATTGCTTTTGGAGAAATGGTAGGTTAAAATAAATTTGAATAAATAGTATCAACTATTTATTAACGTTTTCTATCAAGAACACAAAGACTTTTTAATGAACGTCACACTTTTAAATAAAACACTTTAACGGTTTAAAACGCGATATATTAGTTAAACTTATTTGAAAATGATTTTTAACTTCAACCCGACGTTTCGGATGCTTTGCAGCAGCCGTGATCACGGGGAGTCTTTCAAATAAGTTTAACTAATATATCGCGTTTTAAACCGTTAAAGTGTTTTATTTAAATGTGTACTACTCGCGTAAACTATAGACAGTATTGAACGTCACACTTGTAAACAAATGACTTTCAATCATGATCAATAAAACCAACTCTACTTTATTTTTCTACCAGCCCAGCTAGAGGCTGCCGTCGATTCTTTTATGAAAAAGGAGGAGAGATAAATTTTGGTAAATCCACAGACTGATACCTAAACGCGATTATACTTCACGGCTTTATCATCTGTAGACTGTAACGACCCAGACGAAATTTCGATTCCCACCGCCCATTTATATCTACATTTCAAGACAAAATGTAGATATAAATGATTTTATTAAGTACATAATTATGAAAAATTATAAACCGATTAGAAATATTTCGAACAAAATGGGGATCGACCGGGTCAATGCGTTGATTATTATTAGCCATACATAGATACTTATAACTAAGAATGACTCACCTACGCTTCGCTACGCAATTTCGTTACGTTTAAAGTAAAAATAGCGGCGTGTAAGTGAAACAAGTCGTATTGTTTTTATTATTTTTTGTGTAATAGTTAATTTTGTGTTTCCTCCTAATTAATTCTAAGCTGACACTAAATGCCACGGGGCACCATAAAAATCAATATGCAACAACTCTTGTGTTGCAGCAACTGAATGATGTCCTTCCACATCAACGTTACTGCAGGTCTTATTTGTAAGCCACTTATTTATTTTTCTAAATTATAAAATATATTTTCAATGTCTATGAAAATTTAAGTGGTCGGGTGCTTCTATCACGAAAATAATCACACACATATGGTAAACTTCCTAGAAATAGAGTTTTTATTGCGTTCGCTCGAACAGGGGATGTCGCGAAATGGTACTCAAAACAATACCAAATACTTTGACACAAATGGCGCCGTTGCAGACACGAATTGGTAATAAATCATACATTCATGCATTATTACCAATAAAGTGGCTGAAAAAAAAGTATAAAATGCACGCACACTGAAACAAATAGATAACGTTATATAGAGGCGTTTTTATACCGCAAATCATCATTTGTTATTTTACAACAAATGATGATTTGATTGAATTTTACACTAAACTTGAAGATAAAAATTCCAACTCTAATTAAAATTTTTACGTATTTATATAACTAGAACTTGTATAGATTCTGATACTTTGTCACATAAATTTATTAAAAACCTATTGAAACGATAAGCTTTTAAAGAAATTACGAGTATATACAAAGTGGGTCGACTGAAGTATTGTCTGTAGTTTACGCGAGTAGTATATTTAAATAAAACACTTTTATCAGTTCAAAACACTGAATACATTAGTAAAGTTAATTCAGATGTTTTGCAGCAATTGTGGTCATGCAAATCATCCGGAACGTCGGGTCGAAGTTAAATTGCAAATACATATGTTTAAACCATTAAAATTGTATTATTTAGGCTAAAAAGAAATCCTTTATTATTAATAATTATGAAACTGTTATTTAATTTTGGTACGATGTATTTGTTAGCATAAGAACTAACTTCAATTACTCTCGTTTAAAAAAAACTTTAGTTTTTGCTAAAATAACATAGCACGTAGCGTAGCGAAGCGTAGTTAACAAAATAATTTTTAAAAGGCATGATAGTCCAAAATGGTACCAATCGCATTATCATGGGTTCGATTCCCATAGCAGGTTGTAGGAAAGTCGAAGTTCTGTTTACGAACTATCTTTCAAAACAATAGGCT